AGAGAGAGAGAGGAGGAAGCAGGCTCCCTGCAGAGCAGAGAGCCCGATGTGGGGCTCGATCCCAGGACCCTGGGATCATGACCTGAGCCGAAGGCAGAAGCTTTAACCCACTGAGCCACCCAGGCACCCCTCCTTCACCTCTTTTCTTACCCGACCCTAGAACATGGGAGGGTCTCAGTCCCTAGCCTGTGAGCTCCTTGGGGGCAGACCCTCAGTAAATGTGAAGTGCTCTGCCCCCCTCTCAAAAAGCAAAAAACCCCCTTCTTGTTTCTAGTCTTTCTGTGGATTTATATTTCTTATCTCACTGTTTTGTGTATGTATTATATACTGTTTTGTGTATGATCCACCTGTCTTATATTCCTTTTTCTCCTTGTCTTCTTTTGAATTATTTATTTAAAAATTTTTCTTCTTTTATTAACTTAATTATACATATTTTTACAGTTTTGTATTTTTTTCCTCAAGAACATTGAGTTTATTCTTAACTTATTATAGTCTAATACAAATTAACTCCCTAACAAAATATGCTTCCCCAGCACTGCTAGAGCATTAGGATAGTTTAATTCCATCCGAATTTTGTCACGTGCTTTTTCTGTATCTCTGTCTTTCCTGTCTCATAGGTTTCTTATTATGCATTTTAGTTCTGCATGTATTTTAAACTTCACGGCTATTTTAGTGATCATTTTGTACAGCTGATATTAATTTATTTTCATCCCCAAATTTACTTTTTCCTTAATGAATTTTCATTTTTCCATTTTTCATTTGCTTGAAGAGCTCAATTTAGTATTTCTCCTGGTATAGGCCTGCTAATCCCCTTAGATTTTTGTCATGCTAAAATGCCTTTACTTTCATTTCTATCTGTATTTGCTAGCATAGAATTTTAGGTTGTAGCTTGGTTTTCTTTAGTACTTTGGAGAAGTTATACAGTTGTCTCTTGGCTTCCATCATTTCTCTTTCTAGCAATTATGTCCCATTAGTGGGAATGTGACTTTTTTTTTCATCTGACTCATCTTTAGATTTTCTTTTTGTCTTTGATGTCAGTATTTTATCACATTATGCCTAAATATCCTTTGTTCGAATTTACCCTGCTTAGAGTTTTTTGGTTGATATCACTTATCAGCTGTGGAAAATTCAATTATTCAATTTTTTTTTAGAATATGGCTGCTTCATTATTCCCCCCTCTTTTTCTAAATTATAAATTCACATTTTTTAAGTATGTCTACTTGTTTATGATTTTTCCTTATATTCTTTAAAAAAATTTTTTCCATTATGCTTAAGTTTGGGTATTGATACTGCTTTTTTTTCTGTTTCACTAATCATGTCTTTCTTTGTGTCCAACATGATATTAATGGGTATGTGGATATAATAGAGGATATATGTCCTCTATCTTATTGAGTTCTTAATTTCAAATGCTGTGTTGTTTTGTTTTGTTTTTTAAAGTAGGCTCCGTGCTCAGCGTGGAACCTAGCGCAGGGCTTGAACTCTGAACCCTGAGATCAAGACCTGAGCTGAGATCAAGAACCAGACATTAACTGAGCCACCCAGGCACCCCTCAGATGCTATATTTTTCCTTTCCAGAATGTCCGTTGGGTTTTTTTTTTTTTTTCCAAGATTTTATTTATTTTATTTGAGAGAGAGAGTGAGAGAGCATGAGAGGGAGAGGTCAGAGGGAGAAGTAGACTCCCTGCAGAGCTAGGAGCCCTATGCGGGACTTGATCCCAGGACTCCAGGATCATTACCTGAGCGGAAGGCAGTAGTTTAACCAACTGAGCCACACAGGCGCCCAATCTGTTGGGTTTTTTAATGGATTCCGGTTCTCTGTTGAAAGTTTCCAATTTAACCCATTTTTCCTTTATTTTCTTGAACATATTAATAATCATAGTTATCTAAAGTCCTTGTGTGCTAACTCCAGAATGGATCACCTGTGGGTCAGCTTCTGTTTTCTCTCTTTTCTCCTGGTTATTGATCATATACTCTTGCCTGTTTTATATGTAGTAACTTTTTATTATATGCTGGATGTTGTGTGTAGAAGACTAGAGGCTACAGCTGATTTTATCTTCTACTAGAAAAGGTTTCCTCTTTACTCTCTTAGGCAGATAGGGTGAAGAAACTGATCTTAATCCATCAGGAATTGGGCTATGTCAGGGCTAGATTGTAGTTTTGATAAAAACTGTATCTTTGATTTGCCCCATATCTAAGATGTGGCATTGTAGGAGTTTTGAACTGAGAATCTGTCAGGTATTTGTCTCTTCAGCCTCAAAGATTCAGTTTTGGCCTTCTGAGGTTTTCAGCCTGGTCCTTTAGCCTTCTGTCCCATTCAGCTTCAAAATTTGGCAGATACCTTGAAGGGGAGACTGACCATGTGTTTGAGGCCCCTCAGGTCTACAGTTTTGTCACTCCAGCCCCATGTGAACGCCAGAATCTCTGCTGGTTTCTCTGTCCCCCAGTAGGGGTCTTCTGCCAGGGCCATGCCTGGATTCTCAACCTCTAGTTGTGCCCAGAATTAGTAAGTGACCCCAGGTGAAAAGCAGCTATAGGTGGAAAATGACCATGCCCTTTAGGGCTTTATTTTGTCCAGGGCTTTATTTTGTCCGTTTTGTTTCAGGCCCCTCCCCCTGGTGGGTCATCGTCTCCTAGTACCACAAGCCTGAGAGATTTCACTACTACTTTAGTCTATCACATAGCCTCAGAATTCAGTTTTGTGGGGGAAAATTAGCTATGTGTTTGAGGCTCCTCACATCTCTAATGTGACTGCTTTAGCCCCATCAGCCACTTACCACTAAAAGTTTTGTGGGTACTCTTTCTCCCAGTGGTGACCTTCTGTGGGGGCCAAACCCTGATCCTCAGCCCACACCCTGAAACAGTAAATGTCCCCAGAGACTAAAATAGCTACTAGTCCATCAGCTTACCACTGAATGATTCTCCCTTTCTGGAATTTTAGCCCATCTGCTGTACATTGTTTCTGTACTGTTCTGATGCCTTTACCAGTAAGGTTTTTGTAATTCATTTGGCTTTTTCAAGTTGTTGTTATGAGAAGCATTGACCTGCTACATCCTACTACATCCAACCCAGAAGTAGAAATTACAGTTACAGATGAATTGAGTGTTGCATATTCCACTACATAAAATCACTTTTTTGTCTTTTGTTCTTACTTTTTTATTTTTGTGTTCTTGGTCCTTGTTAGGGAAAAAAAGATTCCTCATCCTATTTTGATGCATTAGTAAATGTAATATTTTACTCTCAGAATGTAATCTGCTCTTGTCGGCTTTTTCTTTTTTTTCCTTTGAAGTTACTTTGTTAACAAAGACAAATAATCATGGATTGTAAAGATTGGCTTATATTTAAATTCAGTGTATATTGTTAAATATATTGTTGTGGGAACAATTAATTATAATGTTGATTTTCTTCTATGCATGTAGTTTCAGATGATAATGAAGACACTGATGGTGATGGTGTTCATGAAGTAACAAGCCAAGATAGTCCAGTTTATCCCAAATATTTGCTTGATGATGATCTTGTCCTGGGAGTTTACATTCACCGCACTGATCGACTTAAGTCCGATTATATGATTTCTCACCCAATGGTAAAAATTCATGTGATTGATGAGAATACTGGTCAATATGTCAAGAAAGCTGATAGGTAATTTTTTTAATTGTACAGCCAACCCTTGAGATTGAAACTGTCTACAGTAGAAGTCCTCTTTTCTACCACTGAAAGTCAGTGGAAAGGTGCCTGGGTGGCTCAGTTGTTAAGTGTCTGCCTTAGGCTAAGGTAATGATCCCAGGGTCTTGGGATGGAGCCCCACATCTGGCTTCCTGCTCAGCAGGAAGCCTGCTTCTCCCTCTCCCACTTCCCCTGCTTTTGTTCCCTCTCTCACTGTCTCTCTCTCTATCAAATAAATTTTAAAAATCTTAAAAAAAAAATGCAATGGAAATAGAGCTAAGGATTTGTATTAGAGAATAATTTACTGGTTGTAGGTGTTCTTAGACCATTGATACTGATCAGTATATTTTCTAGAAGAAATAGAGAACATTTCTTAATTCATTGATTCATTTTAAGTGGAGGTGAGTTGAGAGAGCTTCTCTCTAACTTAATGACTAATTTATGGCATTGAACTTGCAGTATAAATCATTGCATGTTGCACTGTACTTGCTTTAATTGTCTAATTTAATATTTTTCTTTTGAAGTTAATATGTTACTTGGGCCTCATATGAAGTCAGTAAATCTTGACTTTTAATTTTTTCCTAATATTATATAGCTAATATGTGCTTGAAGCTTATAAATAAAAAGCACCGTAAAATAATTGATTATACTAGAATTCAAAAGTCATTTGCTTGGAAAAATGACAGTGATGAGGACCGTGAAGATTATCAGTTATTCAGTTATCTTAGGGCACACAAAAAAAAATATGACACACCTCAAAAAGTTTGCAATCCTGTTGTGCTCATTTTCTTATTTAAATGTAGTGTACTATTTTATTACAAACTTATTTAAGATTCAGAAGGAGTCTAGCTCTGTCACACTCTCACTTTATGTTTCTGTAATAAGATAATTCTGTGAAACCAATCGATACTGTATAGATACAAGATGGTAGTAGGGTACTACCATTTCTAAGTGTCATAAATTTGTAATTTTCTCGATGTGGACGGTCAAAATAATTTTTCATTGTATATCATGACTATATTCATTATTTCTTCACCTTGATCACTATATTTTTCTCACCTTCTCAAAATTATCATAAGGAATCATGTTAATGGAAGCATCTTTTTTTTTTTTTTTTTTTTTTGGACAGTGAACGGCCTGTTTCATCTCACTATGAAAAAGAAAGTGTGGATTACATTCTTCCTATTATGACCCAGCCATATGATTTTAAACAGTTAAAATCAAGAATTCCAGAGTGGGAAGAACAAATTATATTTAATGAAAACTTTCCCTATTTGCTTCGAGATTTTGATGAGAGCCCTAAAGTCATCTTGTTTTTTGAGGTATGAGTTGAATGGAGCAATTTAAACTAAATTTTGTTTAATATTTTAATAGCATAAATTTAAGCTATTGTTTTTACTTGTTTAGTAATGCAAGAAAATACTGTGCAGATTTAATCCCTAAGATTTAGTGTTTGTAATAAGCCGTGGAGATGTAATATGCTATAATAGTATATGTGCTGAGCATTTACCAGTGTAAGTAGTTAGCCATGTAATTCACTTGGAATTATTTAATTCTGACAGTAATGACATGACTATAAACTGAAGTGATGAATCTAATCTATGTCTATACAATCCTCCATTGTTAACCCATTTTACAAACTGTAAAGTCATTTAACAGTATTGGACTCCCTAAGAGTTTGTACACAGCCAAGGGAAAGAACGATGAACACACACAGACCACTTGACTAATAAAATAAAATATATAACCAAGATGAAGTAGAACTTCCTAGATGTGGAGGGTGAATAGAGGGTCGGGGCTGTCAGGGAAGGCTTTATGAAATAGATGGTATTTGGTATGATAGCAGTCAGTTAAGCATCTGCCTTCAGCTCAGGTCATGATCTCCAGGTCCTGGGATTGAGCCCCATGAGCCTCATGGGGGAGTCTGCTTCTCTTCCCTCCCCTCCCCCCCCACCTCCTCCCCACCTCTCCCCTTGTGTTGTCTCTGTCTCTCCCTCTCTTTCTTAAATGAATAAAATCTTTTTTAAAAATGAAATATAGGGACGCCTGGGTGGCTCAGTTGGTTGGACGACTGCCTTCGGCTCAGGTCATGATCCTGGAGTCCCGGGATCGAGTCCCGCATCGGGCTCCCGGCTACGCGGGGAGTCTGCTTCTCTCTCTGACCTTCTCCTCGCTCATGCTCTCTCTCACTGTCTCTCTCTCAAATAAATAAATAAAATCTTTTAAAAAAATAAATAAATAAATAAAAATAAAAATGAAATATATGGCCTTTGAGCTGACTTGTTATTGTAACTTTTTTTTATGCAAACGAAATCAATGTTGAGAGTATAAAGTTCTTTACCAAAAGTTACTCCAGTTTTAAGCGTAGGTAATTTGTGTTTCAAGATGGTTTGAATCTAAAGTACATGTTTTTTTTCTCTACTTCATGTCATCTCTCTATAAGCAAAAGGAAGTAGAGAAAACCTCTCTTTCAGTTTAAGCAAGATGGGGAGTTGGAACAGCAGGGCATGAACATCGCCAAGGACTGATTTTGTGGAATTACTGGTTTTTTTGATCTTTAACTTTCAGATGATTTGTTATGTTTGTGATATGAATATTCTACCAGTTACATCTGTGATTATATTGTCTGATTTATACAAAGCTGTGATTTTTTTTAAAGAGCACTATAACTTGGGGGCGCCTGGGTGGCTCAGTAGGTTAAAGCCTCTACCTTTGGCTCAGGTCATGATCTCAGGGTCCTGGGATCAAGCCCCACATCGGGCTCTCTGTTCAGCGGGGAGCCTGCTTCCTCCTCTCTCTCTCCCTGCCTCTCTGCTTACTTGTGATCTCTGTCTGTCAAATAAATAAATAAAATCTTAAAAAAAAAAAAAAGAGTAATAACTTTATGTCAAGGAACTTTTTCTTTGTCATAGAAATTTGTCCTTGGTTATAATGTTCCTTCACATTCATTTTAGTAATAGTCATAAATTTAAGGAAGATTGTTGGATTTTGACATTTTTGGTTTCTTCTTAAGGTTTTGGGGGTTTTTGTTTTGTTTTGTTTTGTTTTAGTTTCAGGAGTAGACTTTAGTGATTTATCACTTACATATCATACCCGGTGCTCATCCCAACAAGTGCCCTCCTTAATCCCCACCACCCACTTAGTCCATCCCTTCACCCACCTCCCCTCCAGCAACCCTCAATTTGTTCTCTATGGTTAAGAGTCTCTTATGGTCTGCCTCCCTCTCTGTTTTTATCTTATTTCTCCTTACCTTTCCCTGTGTTCATCTGTTTTGTTTCTTAAATTGCACATGAATGAAATCATGTGGTATTTATCTTCCTCTGACTTATTTCACTTAGCAGTAATACACACTAGTTTCATCCATGTTGTTGCAAAAGGCAGTTTTATTCTTTTTGATGGATGAGTAATATTCCATTGAATTTTTTTTTTAATGTGTGTGTGTGTATTTACATGCACACACACACATACCCCACAGCTTCTTTATCCATTCATCAGTCAATGGACACTATGGGCTCTTTCCATAGTTTGGCTATTGTTGATAGTGCTGCTATAAATATTGGGGTGCATGTGCCCTTTAGAATAAGTATTTTTGTATTCTTTGGATAAATACCTAGTAGTACAATTGGTGCGTTATAGGGTAGCTCTGTTTTTAACTTTTTAAGGAACTTCCATACTGTTTTCCAGAGTGGCAATTGCTTCTCAAATTTTAACATAATGTGTTATTGTCTACAAAACTACTTTTGATTTCAGCTTTTTAGAGTTTATTAAGAACAACTTGATACCTATCAGAAGTCTTAAAAATCATTATTCTACTTTTCAGCATTACTACTAAGGGAAAAATTACAAGAACACAACAATGTGTGTGCAAGAATACTTAAACACTGTTAACAGTCAAAATTTTAGGAAAACAAATCTCTTGAATCAGGAAGAGGTTTGGTTATGTAAATAATAATTTTTATTAAGTTTATGGTATTTATAATACTAAAGTATATTAGGCAGACATTAACATGATGAAATACATATGTATGTATTAACTTGAAATATTCACTGCATGGTATGTAAAAATAGTTTGCAAAATAGCATTGGATTTTTAGTAACATGCATATACTCAGGAATGCACAGAAAAAGGTTTAGGTGTTTAAACCAGATGTTAATTTTGATCATCTATGCATCTAGATTACAAGTTGTTTTTACCTTGTTATATATTTTTCTTGTATTATGAATGTTTTTTCCCTGAGCTTCTGTTATATCCAAAAACAGATTTAAGTGTATAAAGAAGAGGGATGAATGGAGTCCTTATTATTTTTTAAGCTATCTATAAAGATTTGTTATCTTAGCTAAGCTTTTGAGAAGCACCAGTTAGGTTCAAAGTGATAGCCTATGACAGGTATGTAGAATACAGAGAAGTCTGTGGCAGCTTCGTTCCAAATTCCATGAGTTTTAACATCTAGGCAGGATGGAGATAATGAAAGAAATCCTCTTGAGATGCCTAATGACAGCATATATCCAAAGAGAAAATCCCCAGCTTTAGGAAGGTGTTGCAAGGAAGGACCCAGAGATAAGATCATGAGTTTATTAAATCGTCATTTGAAGTCTGCACTCAAACATAGAAAAATAAAAGATTAAAGCTTAAGAATTCTGTGACTGGAATATTTGTGCCTAGACTATATTTGAGGTGATTAATACTTGGTCTTTGATGTGAATTAAATCTTAATAAATGATTTATTAATAAAAAGTAAACTGGTCAAAAAATACACTCTCACTGATATGTCCAAAATCTATAAAGAACTTAGCAAACTCAACACCCAAAGAACAAATAATCCAATCAAGAAATGGGCAGAAGACATGAACAGACATTTCTGCAAAGAAGACATCCAGATGGCCAACAGACACATGAAAAAGTGCTCCATATCACTCGGCATCAGGGAAATACAAATCAAAACCACAATGAGATATCACCTCACACCAGTCAGAATGGCTAAAATTAACAAGTCAGGAAATGACAGATGCTGGCGAGGATGCGGAGAAAGGGGAGCCCTCCTACACTGTTGGTGGGAATGCAAGCTGGTGCAACCACTCTGGAAAACAGCATGGAGGTTCCTCAAAATGTTGAAAATAGAACTCCCCTATGACCCAGCAATTGCACTGCTGGGTATTTACCCTAAAGATACAAACGTAGTGATCCGAAGGGGCACGTGCACCCAAATGTTTATAGCAGCAGTGTCTACAATAGCCAAACTATGGAAAGAACCTAGATGTCCATCAACAGACGAATGGATAAAGAAGATGTGGTATATATACACAATGGAATACTATGCAGCCATCAAAAGAAATGAAATCTTGCCATTTGCGACGACGTGGATGGAACTAGAGGGTATCATGCTTAGCGAAATAAGTCAATCAGAGAAAGACAACTATCATATGATCTCCCTGATATGAGGGAGAGGAGATGCAACATGGGGGGTTAAGGGGGTAGGAGAAGAGTAAATGAAACAAGATGGGATTGGGAGGGAGACAAACCATAAGTGACTCTTAATCTCACAAAACAAACTGAGGGTTGATGGGGGGAGGGGTGTTGGGAGAGGGAGGGTGGGGTTATGGACATTGGGGAGGGTATGTGCTATGGTGAGTGCTGTGAAATGTGTAAACCTGGCGATTCGCAGACCTGTACCCCTGGGGATAAAAATATATGTTTATAAAAAATAAAATAAAATACACTCTCACTAACAGGATGAGTTAATGTAAATCTGAATGAAATAAATGCTTTTCTTTCCTGTGAAGAAAACACCTTTTAAGTGTACAACTTACTTTTTAAATTTCAATAATATGTTACTAGAAAATATTAAATTTTAGGTAGGTTAGTATTCTGAAGTAATTTTTTATACTTGTTTACAGATTCTTGATTTCTTAAGCATGGATGAAATTAGGAATAATTCTGAAGTTCAAAACCAAGAATGTGGCTTTCGGAAAATTGCCTGGGCATTTCTCAAGGTATGTTTTTCACCCATTTTAAATGCTTTAAAAATCCTCTTCAAATCTGATTGGCTGCATTTTCCTAAGCAGTTTAGTTTCGTATAAGGAGTTATGATCTAAGATTTCAGTTGTGAAGAGTTATTAATGCAAGCTAAGGTGATAACTTGGATTTGTAGATACCTATTGAGTGTCTAGTGTGTGCCAGATACACTATTTGGTTCTGAGTATGAAGTATTAAAAAAGATACACAACAACCTGCCATCATTTATTCACCTTAAAAGATATTTATTAAACCCTTTCTGTGTGCCAGCAATGGTTCAAGTCAGTGGACAAGAAAATAAACTCCTTGACCTTATTGACTTCATATTCTAGTAAGGAAAACAGATATAAAACAATTGCTTATACAATTTATCAATTATTGCAATTTTTGTAAATACTGTGTGGAGGTCAAGGAAAGATTTCCTAAGGAGAAAACATAACATTGAACCTGAGTATTAGCTAGACGGTAGCAGGGGGGAAGAGAGAGTTGTGGGTAGATAGAGGGTACCATATTTGCAAAGACCCTGATGTTGGAAGGAGCGAGATACCCTCAAATAACCAAAAGGCCACTGAGATTGGAGGATAGAGACTGAGGGGGCAAATGGTGGTCTTGATTATGCAAGGTCTCTGAAGCCATTATAGCAACAGGAAGCCATTACAGAATTCTAAAGAACAATGGAAAGCCATTATAAGATTTTAAACAAAACAGTAGAATACGGCGCCTGGGTGGCTCAGTGGGTTAAGCCTCTGCCTTGGGCTCAGGTCGTGATCTTGGGGTCCTAGGATCGAGTCCTGCATCAGATTCTCTGCTCGGCGGGGAGCCTGCTTCCTCCTCTCTCTCTCTCTCTGCCTGCCTCTCTGCCTACTTGTGATCTCTCTTTGTCAAATAAATAAATAAAATCTTAAAAAAAAAACAGTAGAATAATCCAACTTATGTTTTAGAAAGATTACTTTGCTTGGTGGAGGATGAATTAGAGAGGGTGTACATATATATACTAGAAGATTAAGGTTGAAAATTCTTACAGTAATCTTGGTAGGAAATTATGGTGTCTTTAACTAGAGTGTTTCAGCATAGATGGGAGATGTGATGGGTTGATTTTTACAAAAGGGGAAATGTAATTTTATAATTCTTTTATCTGGTATCCTTTATTTCTGATTTCAAATATAAATGAGTTATAAAAAAATCGGAGGGGGAGACAAACCATGAGAAACTGTGGACTCTGAGAAACAAACTGAGGGTTTTGGAAGGGGGGTGGTGCGGGGATGGGTGAGCCTGGTGGTGGGTATTAAGGAGGGCATGTATTGCGTGGAGCACTGGGTGTGGTGCATAAACAATGAATCTTGGAACACACACATGCACACAAATTAAAATTTTTTTAAAGTCTTGAAATTAACCTATTTTGTATAATTTATAAAACTTTCTATTTGTGTATCTATCCTTTGAACAATATTTATTAAGTGTCTGTGAAGTGCCAAGTACTCTGCTAAATACATAGCATTCATAGATAAATTAGACATTGTCCTTGCCCTCCAGCTCAGTTTCCATATAAACATGTTACTTGCATGATTATGTGCTATAGAGTAGATGCTGTGAAAAAGCATGTAAGGCACTTAATCCATATTGGGGGTTAGAGAGAGGCTTCAGAAGAAGTACAGGCAGGGGCACCTGGGTGGTTAAGCTCAGGTCATGATCTCAGGGTCAAGAGATCCAACCCTGTGTGGGGATCTGCATTGAGCATGGAGACTGCTTGGGATTATCTCTCCCTCTCCCCCAACACTGCTTGCATGCGTGCGTGCTCATGCTCGCGCGCTCTCTCTCTCTCTCTCTGAAAATAAATTAAATCTTTTAAAAAAAAGAGTGCAGTCTGACTGCTGAAAGGAAGCCAGATTGGCTGTAGGAGGAAATAAAGTGGACTTAGGAATCCCTTGGTCCAGTATAGCTTCTAAAATACCCTTTTGTAACCTGTTACAACTTTTCTCTATCCCCTTCATACTGCTTTAGAGAGAAAAAAAAAAGGCCAAAAAAAGTTGTTTTCACATAGTAAATACTGTCATTGTGTGGTCTTAATCAGAAAGCACTTTTGTTCCTTTTAAAAATGTTAAGATTTGTGCAGAACTGCAGTAATAACTACAAATTGCACTTGGGAAACAATGTGTTATAGCATTTTTACCTTTAAGTGTGTGTAGATTTTTATTTATCCATTTTATGCCATTGGCAGAAATGGCAAATCAGGAATTCTCCCATCTCTACCCCCTACAAAGTGTGAGTATTCTGTGTACTTCCTCTACTGTAACATTTCTGTATTGCCTTCATAGATTCTTAGTTGCTCAAAGTCACCAAAGTGACTTCTTTTTGACAAATTCATTGAACATGTTTTAGTCCTTATTTTACCAGATCTCTGCATTTTTATAGCACTCTCTTGAAACTCTCTCTTCTTTAATTATCACCAGCTCCCAGCATATTAGTGGCACACAGAAAGTGTTCAGTGAATGTCTGTTGAGAGAATTAACAAATGTATGGATTAGGAAAAATTCACCTTTGGAAGTAGCATGGGGATGCCTGGGTGGCTCAGTTGGTGAAGCATCTGCATTCAGCTCAGGTCAAGATCCTGGGACCCTGCGTCAGGCTCTGCACTCAGCAGCGAGCCTACTTCTTCCTCTCCTTTTGCCTCTCCCCTCTGCTCATGCTTTCTCACTGTCTCTCATATAAATAAATAAAATCTTTAAGAAAGTGGCATGAATCAAGTTAAAGTTTAAGTGTGTTAATACCTGTACCATTGATTCCAGTAATGTCCTAGATAACTGTAAAGTTACTGTAGTGGTCCAAATAAACCCCAGCGGGTAGGGTCTGGACCCTACCTAGATATAAATGAGACTTTATCTTAATTCTCAGCTAGAGGCACTTTTAATTCATTTAGCATATATATATTACTATTATTATACATTATAAAATAATAAAGCCTTATTTAGCCACATTTTACATTATATAATTGTAACCATAATGACAGGATATTGACTGATTTTAGTCATGGACTCATGCTAAGCATCATACTAGTGTAAACTAGATTGCATGGTGAGTATTAAAACAACCTATAGAAAGTATGATTTAGAAGCTGGGGAATAATATCTCCTTAGAATATTTTTCTCTTAAAATCTTCAGGCAGATAGGAGTAGGGTTTATGAAGGAAGTCTCTTGAGGGCTTAATGTTTAATTACCGAACACCTCTATTGAAACTATACTTTATCCCTGTATATCATAACCACCTCTCAGCTTACGACCTCCATTGACTTTACATCCTTCCCTAAAAGGCTAGGGATGAAATGGGCTATATATTTGCCAGCTCTGTTGATTGATGCCTCATTCCTGAACACACTGCAATCTGTATTTTGTTTCAGCTCTGAAAGTATCTCCAAACAAATCATCAGTGACTTCTGTTTGCCACATTAGTGAGTGAACATTTTTCCTTTATACTTTTATCACACCTGTATGTGTTTAATACATCACTCTTTTGAACCTCTTTTACCTGGGTTTTCTTGACACCATCTTTTCCTACATTTCCCTATTACGTTCCTTCAGTTTCCTTCATGGTCTTCCACTTCCTTCTCTAATACCAATCCTACTCATGGTTTCAGCTTTATTCTACTTTTCTTAGACTCTTTTCTTGCCTTCACCTCAGATTTCAGATATTTCAACTTGGACAACCTATAAATATCAGACTTCCCCAATCTGAGCATCCTACCTAAATCCTCTGCTACTTCAGTGGGTAGCACTGCCATCAGCCCAGTCTCCCACATTTAGAGCCTTAGAGTTGCACTGTTTGTTTTGGTAGCCACAAATCACATGTGGCTAATGAATTCAAATTAAGTAATTAAAATTAAATGTAATTAAAAATTGAGTTCCACTGTTGCACAAGTCAAACTTCAAGTGCTCGATAAACCATATGTGACCACTGTGTCTTGTTTTGGGGGTACCACAAGTATAAAATGTTCGCATCATCACAGAAGATTTTCTTGGACAGCACTGCCTTAGAGTCTTTCCTAAATCTTCCCTTTTTTCCCTTTCCAAGATGCGTCAGTCAGTAACAGCCACTGAATATATTCTCTGCCCTCAGTCCTTGTTCTCCTAGGCTGCCACCTTCATGTTCTGCCTCATGACATTTTCTACTTAGATTCATAGCCTAGTGAAAGAGGACCTATTTTGAGTTGATGAGATTTTTATTTTTCTTATAAACATTTTATAAGAAATGTAAGAAAGCATTTATATACATTTTACTTTTCTTATAAACATCTCTGTTTATTTAGTTTAAATCTAAGTTGTTTTAGGTTTTTTATTGAATAGCCTTTTTTAAGAAGGTAGACTAGAATATTTTTAAATGTGATTAATGCCTGAAATGAGTTTATGTTAATTACTTTTTGAAAATGATTTTGACGTTTTAAAAATTGAAATGTTACCATTAAACATTAAAATGTTACCATTAAAGGGGCACCTGGGTGGCTCAGTTGGTTAAACATCAGACTTCTGATTTTGGCTCAGGTCATGATCTCACAGTGAGTTTGAGCCCTAGGTCGGGCTTTGTATTGGGTGTGGAGTCTGCTTAAGATTTTCTCTCTTCTTCTCCCCGCCAGACTTGTGCATGTGCAGGTGCACTCTGTCTTCCCTCCCCTCTCCTGTACATGCGCTCTCTCAAAAAAATTTTAAAAACTGTTCATTAAAAATACTGATACTGAATAAATAGAAAATGTCTTTTTGTGTTTAAATACTATGCTTTTTATCACTGTTATTTCAAACAGAGTTATCTTGATTATCTCCTTTGTGCCAAGTAACATCTGACATAGTAATGTAAATGCTTTACCAACAGCCTGAACTTGTACAGGCCAGGCATCTATCAGGAAAATATTTAAAAAGTAATTTGGATTACCTTTTTTCGAAATGATCTTGGAATTGTGTTTAACCAACTGTGTCAGTGTTCTTTGCTTTATATATCTAAGGAATTTCAGCAAATGAGTTTTTTAAATGAGTTTTTGACTATGTACTGTTGCTTACTGGACATATTTTTAGTGAAAATAACATTTTATTGGAATTCTTATTTTAAGCTTCTCGGAGCCAATGGAAATATAAACATCAATTCAAAACTTCGTTTGCAGCTGTATTACCCACCTACTAAGCCTCGATCCCAATTAAACAGTGTTGAGGTTTTTGAATGGTGGTCAAAATATCCAAGGAATCATTACCCATCAACATTATACGTAACTGTAAGAGGATTGAAAGTTCCAGAATGTGTAAGTTAATAATAGCACATAGAAAGATATGTTCTCTGTTGTTGAAATTAAATGGTGACGTTTTTTATTTCTAAAAAGATAAGACCTCTAAAATTATTTTATTAGATTTCTAAAATATAAAGGTACTTTATATAATTATGTATTAAGACTATGCTAGCTAATATATAAAAGATACTTAAATGAATATTAAATCCTAAATGTAAGTTTCAGTGTGAGGAGAATTTTTTTTTAAAAGTAATACTGGTTTTTTAAAAATGGAAGGTAAAAGAATGATGTAAAATAGGTGTTGACAAATATTTTCTGTAAAGCCCAAGAGTAGTTAATATTTTAGGCCTTGTAGGCCATATAGGTTTTGTTACAACTACTCAGCTTTACCTTTATAGTTGAGAAAGTAGCTACATAGACATATGTAACCAGTGTTAAACAAATGGGTATGGATGTGTTCCAATAAAACTTTATTGGCAAAGACAACAAGTTGCATTTGGCCCAGGCATTTGCAGTATCATGATTTATAGGCACACTTTCCATAATATTATTCAAATAATCGGTAAATAATGTTTCTACTACTGTTTTCCACAGATTAAAACAATGAATGATTCTAGCAAATAATTGGTTCTAAAACAGAACTTTTGTTTTTGTCTTATTTGCAGTGAGACATTTCAGGACAGTTGTATGTTCTGTAAGTGATATTATATATAAGTGTGACCACAGGGTTGGTTTACATTAATTTGAATGGAGTTAAATCTCTTTTTAAGGAAAGGAAGATTTAAAAACTTTAGGTCTTTTTGATATCAGTTTTGTGATATTAAAGTGAGGAATACCATAGTATACCAGAGCTGTGATATAACATCTGGTAGGTATTGGTGAAGAGGCAGAAACAAAGGGCTAGAGTTATTAAAACCATTTCATGTAACTATTGGAGTTCTGTTTTTTTCCTCCAAACTTTCAGGGCTTTTTGGGTATAGAACAAAGCACTTTTCATCTTATGCAGAATAGTGTACATAAAAGTAGAACGTTTTTCTGGGTTACATTTTGAAAACATTTCCACGTTGTTTGTTTCAATATTTAAAATACTCTAGATGCTAGAAAAGAAAAAAAGGGTTAATTTGATATTTATATTTTCTCATCTTCTATACACATTCAGATAAAGTCATCTTACCATTCTGTGGTGGCTGTCCAGGAGGAGAAAGGTAAACCAGTGCATTGTGAAGGACACCATGAGGCCGGTTCAGTAGATGCAGAACCTGGACTAGAAGATTCCAAAGAAGTAGTGAAGTGGAAACGACTACCTGGGCAGGTGAAATACTTGATTATTCTCAATTCGTTTAGAGCTGCCTATATTTATTTTAAAAGCTCCAGTAGCTCTGAGGGAAATTAGCTTACTACTGGAAACTCTCAGATTATCCTTGCTTTTAACCACAGTCTTGTCTTTCCATTAATTTACTTGATAATAATAGGGTATATTTCGTGTGCATAAAAGCACTATCATAAGCTCTTTGTTTAAGGACTTAGGTTAGTTTTATCTGTTAGCTGGAGCTGCCAGAAGGAAATAACCATGGATGGGGTAGCTTAAATAACAAGCTTACTCCTTCATAGTTCTGGAGGCTGAAGTCCCAAGGTTAAAGGTTGTCAGAGTTGGTTTACTCAGAGGCCTTTCTCCTTGGCTGGCAGATGACTGCCATCTTGCTCCTCTTCATGGTCTTTTCTCTCTGCATTTAGATCCCTGGTGTCTCTTCCTCTTACAAGGACAGCAAGTCTTTTTTTTTTTTTTTTAAGATTTATTTATTTATTTGTCAGAGAGCTTGATGCATACACAAGCACGGGGAGTGGCAAGCAGCGGGAGAAGTAGACTCCCCGCTGAGTAAGGAGCCCGAAAAGCAGTCTCTTAACTGACTGAGCCACCCAGGCATCCCAGGGACAACAAGTCTTATTAGATTAGGACTCCACCCTAAAAAAAAAGCTCTTTAAAAATTTTTATCTCCAAATACTGCTACATTCTGAGGTACTGGAATTAGAGCTTCAGCATACAAATTTTGGGGGACACAATTCAATCCATAAGAGCAATTAAAAAAAGATTTTTTTTGATGTTTTAAGAGGTAAATCTTTTAATGAGTTTTCTTATTAAAATGGATTTTATTAAAAAAAAATAGATCATTCTAATAGATTCATGAGATTTTTTTACAGTCCCCAGCTTCTTCACAGTGAATCACATTTTGATGGATTATATATGTATATTTTTCTACCATAGGTTGAAGATTATTTAGGCTTTTATTAGTGGTTATCATATTTTGCAGTAGCAGGAAGCATTGCTGATACAGTTTTGCAAATCTATTACTTAGTTCCACAAAGAGTAAAGTGGTTCATTTTGTACATCTGAGCCATTGCCAAATGCAGTTTATCCAAAATCTTAATTTATCCAAACATTCAGGATGCTGTGACTAATACATGAAAAGACATTTGCAAGGAAGTGTACCACATTCATTGCATCTAGTAAAGGACCAATATGTGTTTAATTGAACTTTCAAAATAATAAACCCAGGAACTAAGGATCACTGAAGTTTGGAAGAGGTGTAATTAGGATAAATAAAAGTAGTATTTTCTACAGTAGATCTTATACATGAGAAGTTTTGGTTTCATTTGATAATAGGAAATGAAAACATAAAAACTATGAAATTTTAATAAAATTAGTGAATGGGAAACCAACAGGAGGTGATTACTTTGAAAATACCTTTCAGAAGGTAGCCACAAATGATGGTTATTTTAAGAGATAAAAAGAGAGAGAAAATAAGCATTCATACATCCCACGCTTAAGCTAGGCCTTTAGGGCAGTTATGGTCTCAGAAGAAGTTTATGGCTCAGCAAAAATCACGAAAATTGCTATCATGGAATAAGGATGTTACAGCGTTTTCTGATAAGATGTTTTGTGTGTGTGGCAATACATATACATATCGTGTGTGTGTGTGTGTGTGTGTAAATGTGCATGTAATAGTGACAGCTTTAGAGTACCAGATAATGAATTTTCTTTCTTTCTTTTTTTTTTTTTAAGATTTTATTTATTTATTTGACACAGAGAGAGAGACAGCTAGAGAGGGAACACAAGCAGGGGAAGCGGGAGAGGGAGAAGCAGGCAGGGAGCTCGATGCGGGACTCGATACCAGCACCCTGGGATCATGACCTGAGCCAAAGGCAAAGGCTTAATGACTGAGCCCCATAGGCGCCCCAATTAAGTATTTTTGGTGAATTAAGTACTAGTTAGAAGTGGAGTGTAAAGTGACTTTATTTTATGGAGACCTGATCTCCTCGTTAGGAAATAAAATAATTTACTCTAGCTTTCCATCCATTCTGTTTACTTTCCTCTTTCTCTGCATCACAGTCAAGGGGCTTAAAAATAAAGCTCTACCACTGCAGTAATTTAACAACTAGACTTCAAATTTTAATGCTTCTTAATTTATTTTTTTTTTTAATGTATGTTTTTAGGCTTGCCGTATCCCAAATAAGCACCTCTTCTCACTAAATACAGGAGAACGAGGATGTTTTCGTCTGGCTTTCTCTCATAATGGAAGAATATTAGCAGCGGCCTGTGCCAGCCGAGATGGATATCCAATTATCTGTGAGTAATAATTCTATTTAATGGGATCGAAGTCTATCTGGAAGACATTTGTTTTTTTAAAATTCATTGAAATCTTAATTTGAGTAAGGCCCAGTTTTTTAATAATTATTTCACAGCTTTCTATAAAATATATGTTCAGAAGTAGAATGAGAATAATCAAATGAAGGGTGGTAAGTTTGTGAAACATGCAAGAGGATTTTTGTAAGCATTTTCTTATCATAAATATGGAAATTTAGAAACATGAAGGGATTAATAAATCCCATGAGGAATTCTAGCCCATGTGGTCAGTTGATAGAAGTGATAATTTAAATTATGAAAGCCGTCAAATTTCATATGCAGTAGAAAGTAACAGCTCAGGACGGGAGTACCTAGAGAACAATTTCTCAATAGTAGGGAAGGCAGCAGAGAGACCAGAAACCCACTTTCAAATTGCCTTTAAAAAATACAGAAAACCATGTTAAAAAGGAAAATTCCTGTCGCTTTAAGTGAGCATTCTCTACTCTTCTAAAGTGAGAGACATTAAATACTTTCCCTAATTTCTTGTGTAATAATGAAAACCAGCTTCCTTAGCAGGAAGTTGCCTGCCCCTTGTGGGCGTCTGCCCTAAGTACTAGGTGGTTTTAAATTTCCCTCAGCCTCACACAGTTTATTTCAGATGATTTATTTTCAGCAAGGACTCATAATTGGCTTGGCTACCATTTATTAAATACTCCTCCTCATGAAATAATGTTAGCTTTAAAAAACAAAATTACTTGTGTAGTTTGATTATGACTGTGCTATTTTAAAAATTTGCCAAAACCAATGCATGGAGGAAAAAAGATTCTTAGGATATCTACTCCAGAGAATTAATAGTGATTTCTTTTTTGGATAGTGAAAGAATTATTTTCATTTTGATTTATATTTTAGCATTTCAGTGATAAATATGTGTTACTTTATTCTTAAAGAAATCTTATTCAGAATGCTATATAAATTTAGACATACTTATTGCTTAAGTCTCCAAAGCACAAAAGAATTTTTGTCTTTCGTTGCAATTGTTTGGCTATGATGTATCTACTTGGAATTCGTTTAGCTTGTTGGATATGTAGATTACTGTTTTTCACAAAATGGGGAAGTATTCAGTCTTTATTTCTTCAAATTGTTCTTCTCCTTTCTATTTTTTCTCTTCTGAGACTCTCATTATCTCATTGTTGATACACCTGGTGGTGTCCCACAAGTCTCTGCAGCTTTATTCATTTTTCTTCATCGTTTTTCCTTCTGTTCCTCAGACTGCATAATCTCAATTGACTTGTCTTCAAGTTCTTTCTTCTGCCAGCTCAGATCTGTTAGTGAACCTCTTTAGTGAATTATTTCCATTATTGTACTTTTCAACTCTAGAATTTTTTGTCTTTTTTAATAATTTCTGTCTCTTTATTGATACTGTTATTTTAGCAAGAAATTATTCTCACACCTTAATTCTTTAGACATGGTTTTCTTTTTATCTTTGAACATATTTATAAGAGTGAATTTAAATAAAGTTTTTGTCCGGAACAATGTCTTGGCTTCTTCATGGACAGTTTCTGTGGACTGCCTTGTTTCCTGTGGGTGGCTCTACTGGACTGTTTTGGTTTTTTCTTGTCTCTGTATTACATGTGCGGCAGGTCTGGAAATCCGATTCCTCTCCTTCCCCTCCTCTGCACCTACCCGCCCAGGATTTGTTGTTGCTGAAGTCTCTGCTCACTCAGCTTGGTGGTCAGCTATGGTAGAGATTTTTAAATACTTTGAGTGAGTTGATCGCCCAGCCTTTACTAAGCGGGTGTGTGTGTGTTGGGATGCGTTCTTAACACTTCACGGCAGGCAGTTGCAGCTCTGCCTTACTTCACTTTCAGGTCAGTCAGAGGGAGAGAGCGCCTCTGGTCTTTTTGTTCACATACATATGTCCTGCTGGGTTCCCAGGAATTTGTTGCATCTTTTCAAAGTCCTCTGTGGACATCTCATTCCCAGCTTTTTCCTTTTACATTTTTTTGCTCAGCCTCTCCTTGGCCACTCTCCTTAGCTTCAGTTGGCATCACTGCCTCAGCCAGCTGTGCCACTGATTATTTCAGCATGCACCCTGGGGTTAGGGTTTTTCACACACAGCAGGCTCTGAGCCAAGCCAAGGAAAGCCAAGCCCTGGGAATGGAGCTTTTTAGTGGTAAGTATTGGGAGTGGGGCTTTGTGGGGAGCTTCTTATATTTTCTGGCCCATCCCATGGCTACTAGGCTGCTGGCTTTAAGTTGTGAGACTATTGGTTTCTAAAGCTACTCTGCAGCTTGGGAGAGGGGAATGGGACCATGGCATTTTTTAAAATGCTGCAAAGCTCATGTTCCTACCAAGATTAAGCTGTTTTTCTTGAATAAATGCTCCTCAGGTTGTTGCAAGCCTTTGTTTAACTTCTAGAGTTCAGAAAAAGTTAATTTGGATAATTTTTGAGGTATTCTCGTTGCATTTATCAGGGAGCAGATATTCTGAGGTGCTTCTTTGCTATTCCAGAAGTACTTCTGTGCTGCTTAGTATTTTAAAGGGCATTTGGTTTTACCACTAGGTGGAAGTAGAGACTTGCAAATTTTGTTGTTCTCAAGTCACTTTTTCAAAGCTTTCATTGTGAACCTAACTTAGAGCAATACCTTAATGTCTTGTTTATCAGATTAGGTCTCTGTTAATTCTCTTATTATATCATTTTAGTATTGGAATTTTTTTCAAACAAGGGCTGCCTGGGTGGCTCACCTGGTTAAGCATCTTCCTTCAGTTCAGGTCGTGATTCCAGGGTTCTGACAGGATTGGGACCCCTGCTCAGCAGGGAGTCTGCTTCTCCCTCTCCCTTTGCCCCTTCCCTCGGCTGGCGCTCACTCTCACCTTCTCAAACAAACAAACTAACAAATAAATAAAATATTTTTTTAAAAAAGAATTCTAATAGTAGCACAGTTTAAATTTCTTTTTTAAATAATTAAAATTTTGGCTGGAATTTAATGGATTTTCAGGTAAAGTAATATCTTATTCATGAAAACTCAAATTATAGAATCTTTGAAGTGAATTGCAATTTAACTGTTATCTATTATTTGATTAATAAATTGATGGTGGAAGACTACTAGGAAAATTGCTTTGACGAGATGAGAGTAATTGTAGCATGCTATAAAACTTTATATGTGTAAATTCTTGTGTCTGAAGGAAATGAAAAACTACTTTTAAGTAGACTTTGAGATTTTTTTATGCTGAAAATATCTTTGGTGATGGTATTCTTAGAGACTGTGTGCAAATTATTATAAGCTATATGTTTGTATGTTACTGGATTAAGGACTCTCTGGCTGGAAACCTACTAATTTTTGAATATTTTCTGTAGTATATGAAATTCCTTCTGGGCGTTTCATGAGAGAATTGTGTGGCCACCTTAATATCATTTATGATCTTTGCTGGTCCCATGATGATCGCTATATCCTTACTGCATCATCTGATGGCACTGCCAGGTTAGTATACTTGAGAAGTACTTACTGTGTATGTTGTTGGCCATCAAGGAAAGTAAAGAAAATATAAAGGGATATAGCTATTCTTAGGCTTAAGTAATATTTTGCTTATCAAGGGACTGTCATAGAGATGCATCATATAGACCTATTAGATCAGTAGTAGTGGGAAAGCTTTTTCCTAAAGATGTTTTTATTAAATATATCTTTTTTATGTAATACATAATGCTTCTAGTTCCCAGTGTCCTTAAATGATCATTATGTACACTATTTGATTAATACTCTGCACTGTTTGACGTAAGGTAAACAGTTGATATTTTCCTAGAATATAAGCTCTTAATGGTAGGGCTTCTGTTTTCCCTGTTAGCTATGGGCAGGGGCCAGGCCACAGTGATGCACAGTGCATGGTAGACAGTGAGGAACGGAAACCTTGTCTAAGACAAAGGTATGGCATAAGGGGAAGAACTTATAACTGTTAATTTATATGGAAAAATTTTTGAACATTCTCAGACCCAAAAATAACTTCTCTTGGAGTTTTCTGATACCTTGGGACACATCTTTCTTTAAGGGGGGCACAAAATAAATTGAAATAAAGCACCAGTGCTCACAGATACAGTTCAGACCTGTGGCAGCTTGACGTTGAGATGCTGAGTGTAGCTTCCAGGGACGAGTGTCGCAGTGCCCCCTCGCTGCTGGGGTTGCGCTTTCCCTTGTGGAAGGGCTCACAGCAGAACAAGTGCTGAACCCGATTTTGCCTTTTCTCCTTTTTTCATTAAAGTAAAACTCCTCTTCACTTTTCTTCTGGTTAGTGAAAACAGGTACTAATGTAGGTCTTAGGTAAAAAGCCAAGTGGTGTAAGGCAGACTTTGAAAAGCAGGGGATACCTACATGTAAGTGAATATGTGCCTTATGTTTTAAGAGTTTTATAGATTTTCAGTATTTGCATTTTTCAGAATGTCAGTTATAAAATAATTTAATCCTTCCCAACTTAATATGTATCATAAAATTTTTTAAATCTACTTTGTAAAATTTCATTGACCTGTTCTAGCTGCTTGTTCTACCTTGTTTGCATGCTAAATGTAGACACTTCTAGACACTTCTAGTGTCTGAGTCTCTTTTATTACTCCTATCAGCTTCCTTTTTAATATAAAATGTCTAATTAATTAAGATCTTATCAGGACTGTTGAGTTTCTGTTTAAACAAAAGGTGGTAATTGGTGAGACTTGATTTCCTTCCATGTGTAGCTAGGCACCTGCTGTTGGTCCCTCTTAATAGGATCCTTTGGAACCCCTGGTCTGCTTGTTGTCTCAACACAGCCATTCTGTCCCATGCCAGATTGTACTAGAGAAAAATTCATAACCTTGGAAAGGCCTGATTGTGGATTTGTAAGTCTTAAAATCACCTGAGCAGTCATCTCAGCCAAGCAAGCTTTTTCCTTACCTTTATTCCGCTATCTTTTCTTAGTCCTCTGGCAGCACATCCAAGCCTTGTGGCACTTCAGGCTCTCGACCCTGAGTCACATCTGTCCGCTTTCATTAGCTGACTGCCTTTAGCTTCCAGTGAATTATGCCAGACATGAACTTCCTGTATTTCCCTCTGGTTTCCCACCCAATATCTATAAATGTACCCATCTTTATCTCTGTCCACTGCTCTTAACAAAGATGTATGGGTAAGGACACCTTTCAGGCCACTCTTTGACATGTGCTTTTTTAAAAAAAATTTTTTTAATTTTTTATTAACATATAATGTATTATTAGGCCCAGGGGTACAGGTCTGTGAATCGCCAGGTTTACACACTTCACAGAACTCAACCATAGCACATACCCTCCCCAGTGTCCATAACCCAACCACCCTCTCCATCCCCCACTCCCCGCAACAACCCTCAGTTTGTTTTGTGAGATTAAGAGTCTCTTATGGTTTTTGACATGTGCTTTTAATCTCAGCCTTTCAATCTACAATTCTGTTTCCTACCTCTCTTATCTCTTCAGTATCTTCCTCTTTATTGATTTTGTCCTCTCATCTTAAAAATATGCTCAAATTTCCTTATCTTAAGAAATCTTTCTTTCAGTTCTTTCTCCTTTTCGGACTACCCCATTATTTTTCTTTCTACAACATCAAGAACGTTCTACACACGTCTTTAGCTCAACTCTGTGAATCTAGTTTTCACTGCCCCCCCTGCTAGATCAACCTTCTTTAAGAGGTCAGCAGTCTCTTGCTGATTTTCAGATTCAGTGGCCAATTTAGGTCCTTACCCTATCTGCTTTCACTGAAGTGATTAATTATTGACTAGTTTTAAAATAGTTTCAATTAAATGGTTTCTTTAACAGCCTCTTCTGTTTGCTTTTTATGACTGGCCAGTTCTTGTTCCCTGTCACTTGTTCCTCTTCGAAGCTCTGCCTGTTCTCTGTAGATGTTTATTCCCAGAATCCTCCTATTTGAGCATCTTCCTTGGTTTGCTGTGCTTATCCTGGTCTCTCTCATTTTCCCCAGTTTTCAGTCTCACTTCTATGGGCTGACTTCTAGCGCCCACTTTTTTTCTGAGTTTCACTTTCTGTTACTCTGTCTGGACTGTCAGTGGCACCTTGGATCTAAAACCAGACTTGATATCACTAGACTGCTTTCCTCATTTTGTCCTCTTGTGGATTTTTTAATGGCATCCACCCTGAATCCCAAGCCAGGAGTCCAGAATAGCACTCATTTCTTTTTTTCTTCCTACCCTTCCTTCCCATATCTAAGAGTACCACAGATCTGTCAGTTTGCCCTCCTAAAACCTTCACCATTCCGTCACACCCTTTCTATCCTCACTGCTGTTACCTTCTTTCAGGCCCTTGCTATCTCTAGCTTAAACTATTGGTGCTAAACTTCCCCACTGTTCAGTCTATCGTTCCTCCGTCTTTTTACAGCCATGCTTCATAATGCCCTGATCTTCAGAAGTCTTCCCACCACCCTTTTGAAAATGTTCCAGATCCTTAACATGGCATTACAGGCATGTTTCTCATTGACCCTACATCCTTCTCCTGTGCACTTGCCATGTACCCTTGGCATCACCCACACAATCTTTTAAAATGCTCTTAGTATCTTCCTCTCCATGTCTCTTCTTCCGGTGCTTAAATGCCCTTTTCCTAGCCTTCCTGCCCAACTCAGTCACTCAGCAACCATTTAAGTGCCTTTTGTGATGGCTCATAGTCATTGTTTAAAACCCAGCTCAGATTTAACCATTTCTTATAGTTTTCTTGTTTTTTTGCCAGCATATGATATTTTATATATATACACAATATATATACACAATTTTATATATATACACAATAAAGTATGCTTTTTTCTTTATGTAGCTTTGATACTGTTGGAGGATGTTTTACATCATAAAAATACTTATTGTGTAGGATTAACTGAGTGAAGAGAAACATTGTGGCTAGAACCAAAAAGAGTGAGGTTTTTGAAAGAGGTAAAGACTACTTAAAATGAATAAGGTAAAGTCAAAGGAAGAGAATTAGAGTTGCTAATGTTCCGAGAGGCAGAGGCATGGACTTCTGGCTGTGTCTTCTCCTTGTCTTCCTGGTTAGTGTTAGTGACTCCTGAGTTATTGTTTCCCACTGGTTAGCTCTTTGCCATGTATGGTTAACCAAAATCTTCTTTAGTTATCTTCAGTACAAATCTGTATTTTTCTCTAACCAATGGCTCCTCATATAATCAGACTTTTCCCACATGTAATGGCTCCCATTTAGGCACATATGTCTCCATGTTGCCCCTCATCATACATACTGTTGTAACTGTATGTTTTTTTCTTTCCCAACTGTAATAATTTTTTTGTGTGCTCATCTAGTCTTCACAGATTTATGTATTTCCTTGTTCTTTGTGATCAGCTCTTTTTTCCCCAAACTCATTAATACATTTCTGTTGTTCTTAGACTCAACCTTTGCTTGCTTGACTAAAGCCATCATTGATTTCAGTTAGGTTTTTACATAAAAGGCTTCATTTTTATTGTAAATTACTGTGTCTATTTTAATTGAGCTGCTTTTAAGATATGATTATTTCATTTCTACCTGTTACATAGGATTTCACATAATACTGCTAAGATTTTTAAGCAAACAGCTGAAGTTTTTCTTTTAAACAATCTTCTTTTAACAGTCTTAATCACAAATTCGTTATTTTGTTCTTTTAATAAGTATTGTATTTCATGTAGCATATATTCATTGAAAGTATTACTATGGTAAAAATGTTTATGCAGTGATACACGTGTTTTATTTTCACTTGAAAACATGTTCTTTCACTTCCTTCATTATTAGTTTGGATTCTTAGTAATTGTAGATCATATCCTTATTTGAAGCAGCTGCTGAGAAGACTCAGAATGTTATTCTTGAATGGCAGCTGTATTTTTTTCTTTCATCGATAATTTTGAAAAGGACTTAATTTGCTTTAGTTCTTAGGTCATGATTAAAAGAAGGAACTATAAATCCCCCTATTAATAATTAATCTATTTTTCTAATTCTGACAATTTAATCAGACTGTTTAAAAATCCAGTGTTCCACACTCATTTAGTACCTTTCAGTCGCTAGATTTTTGCCTATTTTTACACACTGACTAGAACTGTAGAGTATTTAACATAAGTTTTAACCCTTAGGGTTTAATCTTTTGTCAGGACTGTAGCAATGACAGTAATATTACTTTTTAAAAATTATCCATAATTTAGAGGAAGACATATTAAAAGTGTTAAATATAAATTGATTGTTTAATGTAAGGTAGCTTGTTTTCTATCAGAATATCATAGTTAATCTTATTTTACTGAGGTATCAAACAGTAATTTCAATATGGCTTTTAAGACTTTGAGATCACAGTCACTTTCTAGGCTTGGAAATTATAAATACAGAGTTAATGGACTAGCTTATTCTCTAAACCTCTACTAGGGAGCACTTTACAAAAACAATATACACAACCTAAATGGAGAATAATTGAAGCTCTCCCTATATTTTATTTTTTGTGTGTATTGTACTAAATGCAGTATTTTACCAACTATTCCATGTGTGTTTAATCAATGTCAAAAATAATTGTTTAAAAAAAATCCAAATACAATTTTTCATTTTACAGTATAGATTAAAATTAGTAGACAAATTAACCATTATGCTTGATAATAACTAAGAAATAGTTTTGTCAAAATGTAAAGAACCCCAGCCATAAAATATTTGATCACATTATTTTTGATTGTTATAAAATGTAGTTTGCCTTTGGTTATTGTCATTGCTTACTTAAGTTCCATTGGCCATGTTGGTTTTTGGGAAAAGTTTTAGAAACTTCTGCCTTTCAGAAGCAACATATAACTTTTTATCCTTTTCCAGGATATGGAAAAATGAAATAAATCATACTAATACTTTCAGAGTTTTACCTCATCCTTCTTTTGTTTACACGGCTAAATTCCATCCTGCTGTAAAAGAAGTGGTAGTTACAGGTTGTTATGATTCTGTGATACGGATATGGAAGGTTGATATGAGAGGGGATCCTGCGATATTGATTCGACAGTTTGACACACACAGAAGTTTCATCAACTCTCTCTGTTTTGATATTGAAGGTATGTCAAAATATAGTCCAAATGAAGGCTAGTTGCACGAAGAATTTTTTAAAAATAATTTTTGTTCATTAAGGTAATATTTTTAAGCTTGAGAGGGATTTTGTGTATTGATGATTATACATTTTTAGATTTATGTGTATTTTGCAGATCATATGATAGACCTGGGCACAGATTTGGCAGTCAGGGAGTTTTGTTTGTAATTTTAAAGTCATTAAATTCTGGGGGCGCCTGAGTAGCTCAGTCCGTTAAGTGTCCAGCTCTTGGTTTCAGCTCAGGTCATGATCTCAGGGTCATGACATTGAGCCCTATGTTGGGCTCTGCGCTCAGCATGGAGTCTGCTTGTGTTTCTTCCTCTGCTCCTCCCCCTGCATATACTCTCTCTCTAATAATAAAATCTTTTTAAAAAATCATTTGTCATTAAATTCTTAAATTTTAGATTCAACTAATCTTTGCTGTAATAACCAGTCATATACCAAATTTCATAAATATATTTCGTTGGATTGGTAATTATCCCCTCAGTAGGCTTATTTCTTTCTTTTTCCAGTAGGTTTCTTTTAAGTGGCTTTTGAGTTAAAGGGTAAAATGAGGAAGAAGAGGGAACTACCAAAAGAATATTAGATAGATAGCAGGGAAAACCTGTATTTACACTCTGTACTGAGTACATTGTGCATTGAGCACCTCTGCATTCAGCTCACAGTTAATAGGTATGTATTATATAATTGTCTGAAGGTATCTTAAGAAACATTCTATTGTTGGCAGTACTTAGGATGTTTCCAGCTTTCTCCTACCATGAACATGATTTCTCTGAATAATATAGATACACATGTGCATATATGTATATACAAAACTTTGTTGCACTGTTTTATAATTATTTTCTTAACATAAATTCCTAGACCTGAGGTTGCTGAGTCAAACATTTCTGGAGTCCTTGCTTTGTGCTGTAATGTTTTAAGTACGGATATATAGACTATAGCTATAATTAATTAGTATAGCATCCAGATCAAAATGAAACTATTGCCAATATATTCAGTCTAACTACAGGGATGATAAGAAATTGGAACACATTAAGGAAAAGTCACCAGGGATAGAAAGGTGCCTACAAACTTTGTCATAGTAGAAGTCATTCAGATTATAAAAGACATGAATTTCTTCAAATACTTGACTAAGATATGCATATGTGAAACAAAAAGAAATCAGTCTGTATTGCTCCAGTAGAAAAAGATAGAGCTACCAAAGATGGATATTCTTTGTTCTGAATTGGAAAGAACGTTCTAGTATCTAGAGCAGTTCATCAGTTGAATAGCTCCCTTGTAAAAAACCAAGTTCACAGTTACTAAACAACCGTCTGTTCTTGATGGTGTGGGAGATAATCCTGAGTGAGTATACAGTGAGTTTGATGGTCTCTGAGGTCCCATTCAACTATAAAATGGTTTAACTCTAAGAATATATGTTAAACTGGAACACCTGTCATTTATCGTTTTTTTTTTTTTTAAAGATTTTATTTATTTATTTGACAGACAGAGATCACAGGTAGGCAGAGAGGCAGGCAGAGAGAGGAAGGGAAGCAGGCTCCCTGCTGAGCACAGAGCCTGATGCGGGGCTCGATCCCAGGACCCTGGGATCATGACCTGAGCTGAAGGCAGAGGCTTTAACCCACTGAGCCACCCAGGCGCCCCTCATTTATCGTTTTATTCATTCCCTATTGTTTATTGAGTTTCTACTGGTCTCAGGCATTTTGCTAACAGTATATATTAGAATATAGGTGTTTTTTCAGGAATATAGAACAGATCATATAGGTTAATAAAGGTGAGCAATATAGATAACATACTGGATAATTCAAATGATTTATTTGGCTATAGAATTTGACCTATATATAAATGCAATAAGATGCTCATTTCTTTGTGTATTCAATTTCATGTGAGTAAAAAAGGGAAATAAGTCATCAAAAGTAATTCAGAAGAATGAAGAATTCATTTAAAAATAATTGGGAATTTATTATGATTTGTATTGGTTTTTTTTTATTTTTTAGGTTTTTTTTTCTTTTTACTAAAATACTGTTTAATAGCCCTCTGATTCTTTGTTATACTGGGATGTGTTTTCCCAATTTCATTTTGTTTCTACCTGGTGTAGCATTCACAAGTAATTTTTTTTTTAAATAGGTCAGCACATGTATTCAGGAGATTGCACGGGGGTGATTGTTGTTTGGAATACCTATGTCAGAGTCAATGATGTGCAACATTCAGTGCGCCACTGGAGTGTAAATAAGGTATATAAGATCATATTTAATACATGAGATTTAATTTTACAAATTAGAAAAAAATTGAACTACATGACTTTAGAAATAAGACATCAGGACATTCTTTCTCTCTTCTCAAAAAAATTTTTCTCAAGCCCTACAAAGTCAGTTATTATTGATGAATTGTCTAGTTTTCCTGATGGCTAAGTGATGATATAGCAGCTTAGTGAAAATTTGCATTTTGGCCAAACTTTACTTTCTTATCTTTGAACCCTAATTTGTGATATGGCTTCACTGATCCATTACTGGAATTATGCTAAAATGAGGCCTATGTTATATTACCACCTATAAGTAATAACTTACATTTTCTGCTATTCATTTTCTTTTTTTGACCCCCATAACATCACTCTAAAAACAGTGTGTTCAATGTTTTGTTAACAGTATTATTTTTCACAATTATGTAATCAAAAGTATATAATTATGACTAGGGTCTATCATTTACTCACAATAATTGTTTTCACTTGAGTTTTGCCAAGTAGGCAGAAACAGGTGATCTTTCATTTTTGGAAGAGATTGTTTTTAAGGTACCTGGTGTATTAAACAGTTTTATTGGTGCATATTCAGTATTTTTAATTAAAAGTATAAAATAAATTTTTAAACCTGAGTTTGTTTTATATAAGTTGATACAGTTTGTCTTATATGCTATATTTTGTTCTTCAGTGTTTTGTTCTTCTAACAGCTGTCCTCATTTGAAAAAAAGACATTCTAAGTGAAAAAGAATTTTTATGAACTTGAGTTAAATCTGTTGAATCTATCAGATCTATTTTTAAAACTTTATTTTTAGTCATTTTCATCTAGTCTATAGAATTAATGATTGATGGCTTGGGATTCATGTGATAACCTAATTTTACACACTTTGAAAAGAACTTTCTAATTACTTATATACCTAAGGGATTGACAAGGTTCCAAAGGCATCTTTTCCAATAAGTTGAGTGTACAGTGCAGAGTCTACTATGTGTGTTAAAAAATCATGTTTCTTTACCTCACTATAATAACTAAAAGGCAAATTTACCTTCAAAATCTGCAGCCTGGTAGTTACTCAAGATAGTCCAAAATAAAAAGTTAGAAAATGAGCTGAAATATCTTTTGGTAGCTAATGCCCTAGGACAAACTGTAGATTTCTTAACTTGGTTCTCTTTAGCCATCAGTGTGAGAAATGCTAAATTATACTCATCTGTCCCTTAAGATGACATGTCCATGTGCTCTGGCACACACTCCATGGTACAGGACATGAGCATTGAAACTAAGGCTTTTTTTGTTTGAGTATGAATATGATAAGGAAAAAATATAGAAGAGATCATTAACAGATACTATAAATGCTAAATCTGGTGGCACTTTTGTCGAATTCATGCCTAACACTGAACTTGTTAGACAGTTTTGTGTTTTTTTTATTTTGCACACTTGCATCTGTGTAAGTGTTGCTCAGACCCCCACCAGTGCATCCCCACCCCCAGGCTGTTGTAGTTCAGTCACTGCACCCCCCATCTGTGCTGTCAGTATTTGACTTCTGTAACAGCTAACAGCAGGCCTTCCTGTGGGCAGTGCGGTAGCGGGGCTTAGCTGCCGAGACTCGGATTGTAGCAGTTTGTCCCCCACCTCTGCTGGTGCCAAACCATCTCCGAAGAGGAGACCCTCTAGAGAAGGAGACAAAACATACTAGCGGGTCCTCAAAGGAGGAGAAGGCTAATTCAAGATTCTGTCTGGGGCTTAAAGCAGACTTGCTTTGGCATCTCTGGACTTCTGTCTAAGCAGTTTGCATTTACGGTCTTTTTTCTTTTTTCTAGTAATCCACTCAAGCAGGAGCTTTAGTAATTTTTCCTATGTAAGGCTCATCCAGGCAGATTTTCCTTCAGTATGTAGGTCTTTCTTGACATCATTTGTCAGACACCTCCTGTAGCTACCTTAAGTAACTACCAAAAAAAAAAAAAAAAAAAAAAAAATTCCTAGAGGCTCAGGTGCACTTAAGATTCAACTCCACCTGGGACCCGCCGCCGTGGCCTAGGAAGGCATTGCTGCTGGAGCTGTAATGGCCATTAATACTGCTTTACAAGAGGTGCTGCAGAACACCCTCATCCATGATGGCCTAGCACATGTAGTTTGAAGAGCTGTCAAAGCCTTAGACAAGGGCCAAGCCCATCTTTGTGTCCTCAAATCCAACTCTGATGAGGTGTATGTCAAGTTGGCGGAGGCCCCTTGTGCTGAACACCAAATCAACCTAATTAAGGTTGATAACAACAAGAAGCTAGGGGACTGGGTAGGCCCTCTGGGAAGCTGACAGGGGGAAACCGCATCAAGTCATTGGTTGCAGTTGTGTGGGTGTTAAGGACTGTGGCAAAGTCTCAGGCCAAGGATGTCATCGACAAGGATGAATATTTCAAATGCAAGAAATGAACAAATAAAAAATTTGATTCTTGTTCCTCAAAAAAAAAAAAAAAAAGCCACAAACCTAAAATTACAATCTAAATGAAATGATCTTGGAATATGATGCCAGTCACATACCTTTTTTAGGACAAAGTACAAGTAAGTGCATGAAGAAGTAATCTCACACTGAAATAGAACTTGAAAGTTAATTCTATACTAACTCTTGAAGTCATAAAAATTAGAAGCTTTTCTTATATGATGGTAAGCAAAAAAATACAAAGTTAGAAGTTGTGTTTTAGGAAGTGCTTATTTGGGAATACATCACAAAAATGCTAATTAAATGTAGCTATATATGTGTGTGTATATATATATATATATACATTCATATATATATACACACACACACACACAAACACACACACACACACACTATTAGCTTTATTTTCAACCTATAACTGAAGTTACTGGGATTCCTTTTGCTAATGATTTTAAAGGATCCTTTAAATTGCAGTCAAAAATGACTGACTTAATTTTGTGCTCTAAAACGGGCTTCATATTAGACAAACTGTACGGTGATAATATTTTATAATCTTTTTTAATCATTTTAGGAAATTAAAGAGAGTGAGTTTAAGGGGATTCCTATAAGTTATTTGGAGGTTCATCCCAATGGAAAACGATTGTTAATCCATACCAAAGACAGTACTTTGAGAATTATGGATCTCCGAATGTAAGTATATTTCTATATTGACAGGTTAAGCACTCGTAGAATAAAAAATGAGTTAATTCATACTTATAAAATACAGCTGTGGTTCTCATATAGACAGTTTTTCCCCTCAGAAGACATCTTACATTGTTTAGAGGCATTTTTGAATGTTAGAATTTAGTGGATAGAGACCAGAGATACTGCTAAGCATCCTACAGTTTATAAGACAGTCCCCCACAACAAAGAATTTTCTGGCTCAAAATGTAAACTGTTCTGAAGCTGAAATGTAGTCAGTTGCTTTTTGTTGTCACAAAAAAAAAAAAAAAAAAAGAGGAAGCCTCTGCCTTAGAATATCTTTTATCTCTCTTACAATACTTCTATAGCATAGTACTATGCAATAATACTGTAACAGAATGACACAGCTTTTGATTAATATATCCTTGTTTTTCCTATTTTGTGTTATTTCTAAATAAGGAAAGGAAATTTTCTTAATGTAAAAAGTGGAAGCAGAATGCTGGAAAAGCCAGCATAGTTTTCCAGTGTGCTTTTGTTTTGTTGTTAAGTGTACCAATAAAACAAATGAGAACTCTAGTTTTATTAGATTTCATGATTGTGTTTAGAAAGGAAAATGTAATGTATACTAGTTTATTCTGCAACATTCTTGTAGGGCTAACTCTTCAGGCTTTCGTTTATGTAGAGCTGTTCAGGATACTGGCATCAGTGCTGTGAGAGAATGATTAGCAGAGTAGTTCATCAGGAGTTTATAATCTAGTTACAATACCTCCAGAATAACACAAAACATTTAATTAGGCTAAATTGTGAGATCTTCTAGGAATGGGATCTGCCTTATTCTTCTTTTATACATAGTACCCATGTCATGCTTGAGAGATAGCAAGTACTTGATATGTATTATTTTAATGACTATAAATACTTAATAAAAGGATTATATCTTTCATGGCAGATAAAGGTAAGGATGGCTGTAGTATAGTCTTCTGTTAAAGGCTCTGTAGAGAGGCTGGCCTTTGAGCTCAATATAAAGGATGGGTAGAATTTAGATAAGATAGAAGTTGGTCGGGAGGGTGGAAAACATGAAAAACCTGGAATAAAATTCAGAGGTAGAATAATAGAAGTTGTGATCAAGTCAGGGTGAGTAAGTCTGTAGGAACATTAATTTCTTGATAGTGCTGAGAAAGAATTTTTTTAGAAATAGAGATTAGTGCCAGGTTTTAAAAGGCCAGGCGTAAAGAATTTGGTTATTCTCTTTTCAAGTAGCTTAGACTTCTGCTTGGGCTCTAGAGGCGAACTGCTTAGTGTCAAATAACACCTTTTCCATCCCTGACCAACTGATGAACCATTCTGAGACTCTCCTCCTCACTCAAATGGGGAAAATAATATACCATATTCATAAGAGTTTCGTGGGGAGTAAATAAGTTTACACATGTAAAGTATGGCAAGGACTCCAGAAACTTTTCAGCCAGTAACCTCAGGTCTGGGAATTTATGTGGAAATAATGATAAAACAGTGAAAAAATACGTATACACAAGATTGTATGTAGAAATCATGTTCATGGTAAGGGAAAGCTAGAAACATCCTAACTGTTGTCCCATAGTAGAAGAATTCTTAAGGTATGTTTAGACAGTGATATATACCTACTAAAATGAATACATAATCTATATTTTCTGACAAAAAGTGCCATTATTCATGATTTATTGTTAAATGAAAAAAAAGCATATAATGGGACACTGTTTGTAATGTCCTCTCTGTAAACCAGGGATGATAATAGTACTTACCTGGCATGTAGTGAGCACTAAAATAATGTTAGCTGTTGGGGCATCTGAGTGGTCGGTTAAGCATCTGGCTCAGATCATGATCCCAGAGTCCTGGAACTGAGCCCCGCATTAGGCTCCCTGCTCAGCGGGGAGCCTGCTTCTACCTCTCCCTCTGCGGTTCCCCCTGCTTGTGCTCTTTCTCAAATAAATAAATAAAATCTTAAGAAAAAATGTTAGCTATTATTCACAAATGAAAAAGTCTAGAAGATTATATACCTATTTAATAGAGGATTTAATAATATTTTTGTCTAATATTCCTGCAAGGATCCAACTATATGTTGTGTGATTTCAAAAATTTATCACATGGGAAAAATATAAGAATATAAAAATCTTACACATTTTTAAGTAACCAACTCAAATGCTGCTTCCATAACGTAGGCTCTCTCTTCATAGCTAGAAATAATCATTTTGGGGACGCCTGGGTGGCTCAGTCGGTTAAGCATCTGCCTTCAGCTTAGGTCTGGGGTGACCATGGCGCTCCCTGCTCAGTGGGGAGTCTGCTTCTCCCTCTCCTTCTGCCCCCACCCCTGGCTCATGCTCTCGATCTCTCTCTCAGATAAATAAAATCTTTTTAAAAAAGAAAGAAAGAATCACTTTTATCCAAATCATTTTGTTTTCTTGTGGCACTTTCTACCTCCAATTTCCATTTTATATTGATGCATTCCTTCTCTCTCCTAAATTATAAACTTCCTGAGCTCTGGGACTCTCTCTTCTTTATTCTTCATCCATCATAGAATGTCTATCATGTAACAGATTCTCGAAAAATTGTTTGTTAAATGCAAAAGAAGTATTTAAAAGAAAAGGTTTTTTTTAACTACCAGTCTTTTCAATGGGTAGGATAGGTTACATTTGTGAAATCTTTTTTGTTTGTAGATTAGCAGCAAGGAAATTTGTGGGTGCAGCAAATTACCGGGAAAAGATTCATAGTACTTTGACACCATGTGGGACTTTTCTCTTTGCTGGAAGTGAGGATGGTATAGTATATGTTTGGAACCCAGAAACAGGTAAATATTTAATTGATCTTAAAACATTTTTAGGGTTTGTTTTTATTTTTGAAGAAGTGGGGAAACTATCATTTTATGGAATAATTTTCAAGAAAATTCTGATTTCAGGTTCTCAATTATGTTTTTCAAGATGGGAGAGCTGATAGTGGGACTCAGCTGTAGTCTAAATTTATATTAGATTCTGTTTTTATTGTTTTGATATCTTCATGGATTTGGATTTTGCATTATAATTCAAGGTTTATTCTTTCCTTGCCTATAAGGTATTAGAAATCTTAAGAGAAGTATTTTTTATTGTGGTTGACATACGATATTATGTTAGTTTCAGGTATACAACAAACATAATAATCCAACAGTTATATACATTACAAAATGCTCCCAGTCATAAGTGTAGTTACTATGTGTCACCATACAAAGTTATTTTATAGTATTATTGACCATATTCCCTGTGCTCTATAAGAGAAGTACTTAAGATTGTAATGCAAAATTCAGAATATTTATAACTTGAATTTGGAATTTAAGTGGGTATACAAATGGCTAAATATCTGTAATGTATTTTTTATTAGAAGTAATTATATTCCTGTCAAAGTTTTGGTGTCTGAAATTTAATAGCAATTTACCTGGAGTGCCTGACTGGCTCAGTTGATAGAGCTTGCCAGTTTTGATCCTTAGAATCATAAGTTTGAGCCTCATATTGCGTACAGAGATTACTTAAAAGTAGTCATTAAAAAAGAAAAACAAAAGCAAGTTACCTCAATTACTGTAATTCATGTTTTTCCAATGTAGTAAGTATATTGGGAAGTTTATTTGTACCTCACCTTTGCTTTTCAAAAGAAAAGTTAAAGCCACATAAACATTTTTAGTAATAAGTTGGGAGTATTTTATAAAATTTAAAATATCTTTAGTCAATAGTATTTGGTTCACTGTGTTAATTTTCTTCATTTTTTTTCCTTAAGTTTTTCATCTAAATTCCAGTTAGTTAACACACAGGGTAAATATTAGTTTCAGCTGCGGAATTTAGTGACCCATCACTTCATATACAACACCCATCACAGCACATGCCCTCCTTAATCACACATTCTCCATCTTTCCTTTAAGCATTTTTGACTAGTCGGTTCATTTGGAGGTTTTTCTCTTACTGTGTTTTGATGCTTTGACATCAGTTTGGAAGTGTTAAATCTCTTTATCCTTCAATAAATTGATCTTGGTTGTTTGCTTTTTGAATTCCAGTTCTTATAGGTTCCTTAGACCTCTGCTATAGGCCTCTTTTAGCCCATTGATAATCATATCTATCTTTAAAGCAGGTAGTACCTCAGTCTCTGGAAAAAAAGAAATAGAAAAATGAATTCCCCACCAAACCTCCCTCAACCAGTGTCTTCGGTTTAAGGCCCTCAGTTCCTCCCAGAGTTCTCCGTGAGTTCTTTGTTATTAGCTGGCGTTTGCTCAGCTGTCAAATCTCAAGAGTCAGGTACTTCCCTCCTGCTAAGCTCTTTTTTTTTTTTTTTCTTCTGTGCCTTGAAAATCTTATTGAAGAGTTAGGATGAGAATTAGAAAAAGGAGGTCCAATAGGATGAAAAATAATTAATATAAGAATTACTCAGTTATTTTTAAGTAATCAAGGTCTTCTTGTATATAATGTGAGCTTTGTTATTATTTACTGTGTTTTTAGTTATTTACAGAATAATCTTCTAATAAGAGATATTTGAGGTAGTACAAATTATTGCATGTCTTTTCTTATTTAGGAGAACAAGTAGCAATGTATTCTGACCTGCCATTCAAATCACCCATTCGAGACATTTCTTATCACCCACTTGAAAATATGGTTGCATTTTGTGCATTTGGGCAGAATGAGCCAATTCTTCTGTATATTTATGATTTCCATGGTAAGTTCAGTGCTTTTAAGAAAAGAATATTTTAAGTAACCTTTCCTTTTAGTCTGAACCAGGAATCATGAGCTTTGTGAAAACTGTCAACCTTTGTATTAATAAAGCTCCCTTGAATACATTTTAAGACACATATTAAATAGGTTATATTATTATATGTTACAACATTTTATTTTTCCATAAGCACTATTATTATGGAGTTGAAATATCAGCAAAGGTATACATAAATGGTTATGTCTTTTTGTTGGAATCATAGAAAGGTGATCATCACTTTCTAACTTTAAACAAATAAAATTCACCTAAAAATTATTTGAGAATGTGTTAACTAAATTTAAAAGGTAAACAACATTTGGGACCTTTAATGTGCTCAGCTGAATATTTAGTTTCTTACTCCGTGTTTTTTGTTTTTCCCTAAAGCACAAGGTTGTAATCTATAGTTTTAAGAATTTCTTAGCTTAGGGGTGCCTGGGTGGCTCAGTGGGTTAAAGCCTCTGCTTTCGGCTCACGTCATGATCTCAGGGTTCTGGGGTCGAGCCCCACATCGGGCTCTCTGCTTAGCAGGGACCCTGCTTCCCCCTCTCTCTCTGCCTGCCTCTCTGCCTCATTGTGATCTCTCTCTGTCAAATAAATAAATAAAATCTTTAAAAAAAAAAGAATTTCTTAGCTTAAAAAGAAGGTAAAACATCAAATATCAGTGAAAATAAGATCTGGAATTAGAAATTTAATGTCTTTTTCTACTCTAAAATTACACTATTCTGTCTTTCTGAGAAAAAATAAGGATATGACCTGGGCACACTTTTCAGGAATAAAATGGTATTCTTAGAATTATTTGGATTTATGCTATTTTCATACATTTCTTTAACTTCTGTCCTGAAATTAGGATTTCATTGTTCTGCACTGTATTTACTCATAGTACTGTCACTCCCAAAATTGCAGTTTGATTTTCTTTACATATTAAATCTTGTTCAAAAATAAACAGTCATCATTAGTCTCTGATTTATTTAGGATATCATATATCATCATTCAGTTTTTCTGCTAAGCTAGACAGGCTTACGTACAATATCTTAAATGCATAAATATACAATTGCATACCTATATATAATGTAACATTAACATGGGGTTATTTGGCAGAGAGTCTTAAATTTAAAAGAAATGTGAGTCATTCCACTTATTGCATTAATACAGATATTGGTTAGCAGTTAATTGGTTATTGGTTAATTGTTCTGGTCAATGCTAAATTATTAAGACAGTTAAGTTCTAAACCTGAAGTTGTTGATCATTGTGTAGATTTTATTATGCTCTTCCAGGCAAATTATATTAGGAAAAAAAATATGTAAAATTGAGATTTATTTTGAAAAATTTTTCCTAGAAGAAATAGCTAATTTCTCTACCGCATATTCAGGCCTGGTGTCTAGTTCAAACAGGCTGAAAACAGGCTGAAACAGGCTGTTCTTTGTGTGCACTCTCACTCTTCACTTGAAGGAGAGTCACACCTAGGCGCCCCATCCTCATCACTGGGCCTAGAGTACAGAAGCAGGCTGCACAGTTATTTCCTCAGAACCTTTAGAACTTTCACAACAGTTGCCATTCAATTCCTAATGTGCTTTGTAGGCTTTTGAAATTTTCACAAAGGCAAGTGGAAGTTCCACTCTTTATCTTTCTTTTTTCAGTATTTTTTTCTGTCTTTGATCCATCATCAGGTTAGCCCAGTTGGGTTTGCCAGTTTGGTTTTTAGACCGTAGGCACTTAGACCAAGAAGTCCATTCTAGAAACATAAGCAGAAAGAGCAAAGCATTTTTAGGAGTTCAGAAGCAGAGGTTTTAGGTTCAGTTCTGTTTCTGTGTAGCTTGTGCAAGCCTCTTGCCTTTCTGAAGCTCCATTTCCTCATCTGCTAAGTGGCACCGCTACTGTCCACACCTGTGCTACCCTGGAGAGCCATTTGTGAGGATACTGTGAGGCAGGGACTGTGAAAGTACTTTGTAAATTGATAAGGACTGCAATAAAGGAAAAAGGTAAAATGTGTTGTTATCATGCTCATTTAACCCATATATACTTGACTTTATGGGAACTGAGGTTTTAATATGCTGATAAGTACCTCTATATGAAAGGGAATTGAAAAAAGTTTCTTCCCTCTCTTTTATTCATTCTCTTGGCAGCCCTTTTTTAAAAAATTATGATTAGAATGTTTACCTTTCTGGGTCAGTTGTATTAGAAAATAAATGCATGAAGTTAAGGACATTATATCTATACTGTATTAATATAGAGAAGGAAAGAATTCCAAGTGTTTCAGAAATTAAAATGTTCAAATAATACACATGAAATTAAAATTATTTTGTGCCATGATTTTCTAACACAATTTTCAGTGTACTAACACCTCTACAAACAAAACTCAGAATGTTTCAACACATTTTCCTAACTCTTTGCTGCCTATTTTTAAAATGAGGAAGCTTAGGAAGAAGTTACATAATCTCAAGCAATCCAGGATTTAGCACAGTTCTTGTGAATAGTATGTAGTCATAAGAAAAAAGTTGTTTTAGACTCTAAAGTGTTTTAGTCATTAAAAGCAAGCCATAATCATCAAGTCAATAGTATTTAGATTTTTCATTAAAGCCTACAATATTTATCATTAACCTGTTACAGCTTTGCCTTATATTTTACTTATTTTTAATGCAGGAATATTTTCCCCACACTTTCTTGGCTGAAAATAAAGTTTACATGTATCTTTACAGAAATGTTTTTAGTGGCATAAAATTTGAAAGATGTAGAACAGTTACATGATTTTTAAATAGTATTTATCAGAGCTACTCATACATTTAGGTATTTTTCAAGAAAAATGGAGCAAACTCATTTTTTTTTTGGTAAGTTAAATAAGCTGCGAATGAGACCACAGTGGTAGCTAAATGTATCATCTATCTTTCAGTTCTAGCAAAATCTGTGAAGAGTCAGCAAGCGTCTTTCCCTGTTAAGCATGTGTTCAAGTTGTGGTCTTTTGGGTCTTTCATTCTACTGACTTTTTGCTTTTTTTGGTAAGAAATACAATTTTTACTTTCAGAAGATAGTTTTATTTGCCTGATGCTGAAAGGGTTAATCATCTAGTAATACAAAATTTAGTCACAGAGTACCACAAACAATGTACTTTTAGGATTCCCATAATAACAGAGTGCTAGTCAGAAGAAACGGCTTCTGCTGAATTAAATTTATGAAGCTAGACTTTAGCAGTTAATGTTCTGTTATTAATATTTGTCTATCTCCATCTCTAGGATCCTGTTCTACATGTAGTGATAATCATAACTAATACTTTCAAAGCACTTACTTTGTTCCTGGTACTGTTTTAAGCACTTTACATATATTTACTTCATTTTTCACAATAATCTTAAGACATAGGTCCTGTAATTATCCTCATTTTATATGAGCCAGGACTTGAATCCATACAGTCTGGATTTGGAGACTGTGCTCTTATTTGCTGCACTAACCTGCCTTTTTTAGCAAATTTCCTGAAATACTAGCTTTTAATTTTCTAATAAGCAAACCTTTTTTTCCTGCAATACAATTTGCTTTATGCCTTTCTGTGATTTCTTTGTATCATTTGTACTTTGAAGGCAACAGAGGTGAAGGCTTATTCATCTTTCTGTTATCAGTACCTAGCCTGAATACTGACACACAATGAATATACATGTAGTAGGATCGAGTGCTAATTTGGGAAGTTCTCCTCATTGATAATCCCAGGTGGTGAGCCTAATTTTCCACTAGGTGGCAGTCTCTTCTCTGAATCAATGTTAACTCTCCCTTGCTTGGTCATAGTATCTTAGGCAAGACAAATCTTTATTGAGCATCTACTGTGTGCCAAGTTGAGCAGGACTGTAAAATCCAGGAATTAGACCCAGATTACCATGCTCTTTTCCAGTCTTTTATGCTTCCCAAGTAGTTGATAAAACCTCTGGAAGAATTTTAGTTACACTGAACAGCAATCTCTACCATTGACCCTGGATGTGATTTTATTTAAAAAATTCATATTCATTAATGACCACCTACATTGTTGTTGTTGATAGCTTTATTTTTCACACTGTGACATACTGTATTCAAGGTAATGAAGATAATGAAGGTAATGAATACCTTTATGTTCCTATAAAAATTTTGTTACATAACTTGCTCATTGACCAAAAGTCCATGGTGTTTGCAATTCCTAATGTCTAACCTAGTACCTGGTATATTCCTAATGTGCAGTAAGTGTTTGAAATGAGAATTACAATCCTATAGAATAGCATTTTCCCCTTATATTTTCTAAAAATATAGAATGAAAGTCATGATCAGTGAGTAAATTGGAGGCTAATAATAATAGTGGTAGTAGTAGCAGTTAACATTTATCAAACATTTACTGTGTGTCCTCTACTCTTATGAGCTTTTTATTTACATCCTTCCATACAGTCCTTTCAAAACCCCGTAAGGTAGATACTATTATTATCCTCATTTTGCAGATGATGAAACTGAGGTACAGGGAGAATGAAGTAATTTACATAAGGTCACACATTTGTTAAAGTTTATTCAGCTGTCTGAGTCCAGAGCCCATACTCTTAAAACACTAAACTACTTAGTCTTTGCATTTCCTAATTCATGAAGTAATTTATTTTTTTTAAAGATTTTATTTATTTATTTGACAGAGAGAGATCACAAGCAGGCAGAGGGGCAGACAGAGAGAGAGGAGGAAGCAGGCTCCCCACCGAGCAGAGAGCCCGATGCAGGGCTTGATCCCAGGACCCTAGGATCATGACCCGAGAGCCAAAGGCAGAGGCTTTAACCCACTGAGCCACCCAGGCACCCCATCATGAAGTAATTTAATTAAAAGGGTAGCCAGATATTCCTATGATGAAGTATATTGTTTTCAATTTTAATATTCAGGAGGAGTTATTTGGTTATTTTAATATTAATAGTTCAGTCTTTTACAAATGTTGGGGTTAATTATAATGCCTTAAGTAATTATATTTTCAGTATAATCCAAAATA